GACATCATAGATTTCTGTATCATTCCTAAGTTTGTTTTCTTAGGTTGCATTTGGTTCCAAGAAAAAAGGACCCTCTTGTTTGACTACTTCATTGTGTCAGCAGAGTGTACAGCAACCCACTCAAGGAAATCCTTCGTCTGGGGTTTCAGTGAGTAACTCATATAGACAAGCAAAGACCATAGAGTCGAAAGATATATAGTTTTATACATTTTCCTTACTTAGAATTTGAAAAACTTCAATGCAATCTAGGCGCAATGAGACCAAAGTACGAACTATTACACTAACGATATAAAATAAAAATACCGTGCTAAAAATTCGTCCAAAATAAATAACTCATATACCAATTGAAAGATGAAACCTTAATCTATGTACTCCTGAAAAGAAAATTGGAATATCTTTCCTCGTTTTGTCAGCAACGTCCTTCAAAGCTAACACTGCGCAGGTCGGTACACTGCACCGATGTCGGTGGCATACGATTATTTAAAGGGTCGGTGCAGCACACGGATGTCGGTGCGGAAGGGTTAAAGCTTCATAAAGGAGCCTTATGTCATACAAATCAACTTTGTAACTAATAACTGCATTTTTGAGGTGTGATCAGCAATTGATCTTTTGAACATTAATGTGCCATATTTACAGAGCTGGGAGGTTAATCCTCTTCAAAGCAGCCTCCTTTAACATGCACAAAGAAACACCTCTCATGCTCACCTTTTGGAATCATCATCAGCTGTTCCATTACACTATTCTCAGTTCGATCAATATCAGATCTTCTATATTCCAAGGTCCTTTAAATTTACGGAACAGACAAATTCACAAGAGGCAATACCTGGAGAGTAGAGGCACTGTCTCCCTTGTGTTGTCAGTTAGTTAGTTATTGGAGAGGGTGGGTTTCCCCATGCACTTAGACCAGTATTGGTCCATTGTGCTTCCCTCTGATATTCTACCAGTCTCTATACCCTACTGATAATGGTGCGTACCATCAGTCCCGCCGGGCAAGCGAGTTCGGCCACTTGCTTGGTGGTGTCTATAATGCTTCCCCCATCTATCAGAGGCCTTAGAGACCAGTGTTGGGCAGGAAACGTCCAGGAATTTGGCTCAGTGATCTCCTTTGGAGATCTGAGGTTCTTTTACGTGCTGTAAAGTTACGACACGGGACACAGCTTAAAGTCCCTCCCAGAGGACTTGTTCCCTGAACTTTTTCGCCCTTAAAAATTCGACAACCTCCGCCGGGTATTTGAACCCGCGTACCATGAGTCATGAGGTGGGAACGTTACCTCTAGACTACGGAAGCCGCTCTCCCTTGTGTAACACTGTGTTTAGCGAAAGACTACCAAACTCTGCTGAGTGGACAGGTGCATTTTCATGGTGAATTTTCCAGCTACTTGATTCCCACTTTTATGGCCACGTACAAAACCATGCATCAAAAGCTGGCAAACAGTCTGACTTCATGGTGCACAGCACCCTCACAGTCGGTTAAAATAATCAGTGTCACTTTAATTTTGCTGCAATTTGATGTGCTTCTTTAAGCCACAACAGGCAACAAGATTTCTAGTGATGACTACTGCCAATTTTCATGGTTATAATGCACTATCATGTTTCAGTTAAAATATATTCCGAAAATATTTTCATCAGTTTCTGTATATTCAAGCAAGACAGAAGCCACCTGTTATCAGCTTCTTTTCCTCCTTCTCTGAGTGACAGAGGCTGAGATATGCCTCCTTCCTGTATCTTCATTTAAAATGGCCTGACACAAGTCTTAAGAAATTCCTACCTCTTTGCCCATTTCACAACTAGTGCCTATTCATAAAATTGGTGACTGGGTCTCCTGTCATTCTGACATCTTTAAATTAGTATGAAATAAAAAAAAATCTTACCTTACATCACGACTAAAATGACTGAAGCACTGTAAATATATACCTGAACCTACAGTAATTTGTCACAACATATTCATTGCACCTGCTTTCCCACTGAGATACAACAGTAAGAAATTCAATTTTAAGATTGCGCAACACAGTTTCAAAGTATAACTTCATGCCTATTAAAGTCAAAAAATGCAATACCATCTAAAAATGTTAACATATTAACAGTTTTTCAAAGACAAAATGTTAAATTTAGTTTTAAAATTGCAAATTGTTAATGTGAAGGGTAACTAAGCTTCATAATGAAAGTCTTAAAGATCACAAGTATTAGCTCATGGAAATCTGTTCAGCTTAGAGAGATTTTCTGATATGTTAAAATGGTGATTGAAACAATCTTTCAGGTTAATTTGAAAACGTGTTGGTATTTGGGATAGCATAATCGATATAATGAATTGCTATGGGCTGGATGACCGAAAGGTTGGAGTTCGAGTCCTGGTAGGGTCAAGAATTTTCTCTTCTCCACATCATCCAGACCGACGCTGGTGTCCGTCCACCCAACCTCCTATCCAATGGTATCGGTGGTTTTTTCCCCGGGCATGAAGCTGACCACTCGCCTTCAGCAAGTGCCGAGGTCAAGAAACTGTGGATCTATACATCCAATCACCCATATGCCTTCATGGCGCAGTGCTTAATTAGTAAGCACAGGGACAACTTTCCATTTTTACTTGCACAAACTGTACAAATATTAATCAGAAAGATGTGTAATAATTATTAGCGTAAGTTACACTGACCTCTCTATACAGGTGATGGTTTTCAAATGAAAATGTATGTTCCTCCCACAGTATTTTAATTCACCTATCACTGAGTAATAATTAATTCTTTTTCCAGGTTGGAAGCAAAATATTACGGGTGCTTTCCTATGTGTCCAAACGCTTTAGTTTATCCAGATCCATACCCAAATGAATGCCTTCACAGAAGTGTATAACAACTCTTAAAATGGTTGAAAACTTCTGTCAAAATCCAAATTTGGCAAGACATATGGATTTCAAAAGTTTCAGTGCTGAATATATACTCAATGAATATAAGCATGTTCTGTTGCTAGACTTATAACACAGATACACAAAATTGAACACCAGTATTTTTTTATTTCTATCACAGCATATGCCAACACAGTATGGAGACTAAAAACATACCTCATAACAAGTACTGGTCATGTTGCCCTGCCCTCTATCACCGGTCATCCATGAACTGAATATCCGACAGAAGAAGAACAGTTTTCGGCAGTGGCTGTGGCTGAGGTGAAAGCACAGTCATGCTTTGCCTTTCCATATCCACATTTCTCCTATAAAAATTATAAGAAATGTCCATAATTATCCAGAAACATGTTGTATGGGGATGCATTGAAATTAAGAAACAAGAAAGAAGGAAGGAAAAGGAAGCAGAAAAATTCTAAGGTTTGAAGGTTGTGGAACCATGAAATCGTTGTTTTAGGTCCATACAAATTTCTTCATTTATAGAAAATGTATTTAAACACGTGGCAGATATAATATACAGCATGAGTGCCAACATTTGTTCTATACCATCAGTTCTTATATGAAGGTACATACTAAAATGATGGGGATACTAGCAGTGGAGCTAGATAACTAAGGCGCAATGAGTAGAAGCTGACATGGGTGATGTGAAGATGTGTTAGGCACCAATGATTTTATGTTGCCTCAAATTCATGACAGTATATTTTACTTGCCCAAATGTACATACGACCTCGTAATAATCTTGTATACAATAATAAACATTCTGTGATAATTATTCTTTACAGCTGAAACTACAGTTAGACAAGATATCCCTCAGCAAATCATTTGTAAGAACCTACTCAGCATCATTTAGCTATATAATATATAAAATCCCTTGCCAAAAGACAGGGCTATGTTTCTGAAAACACCACTGACAGTAAGAACAAGGCCTTATGTGAATCTGAGAATTAGGGAAATAACAAGCCATTGTCAACACTCTATAAAGCCTGACTAAGACATGTAAATTTTATACAATAAGTTAAAAATAACAAACTGTCCCAACATAATGGCAATTTGACAGCTAGAAAACTGATTTCAGATGCAACCACAGACCTCAGAATGCATTCTCAGTGCTGAAATGTAAGGTTTGTAGAACTGAAATTGATGTGGGATTGTAATTTAGCAAAAGAAAAAAAAAAGTGAAACATGACTCTGAACAATGTGTTAATACAAGAGGTATACTGGTACATGATATTTTGCTTTCTGATAGTAGTGACTACAAACATTATTCCTATCTTAGATGTGATGTCATGTTCAGTTGCTAAGTATCCATGTTCCAGAAGAATCTGCTGGCTGCCTCTATCTTCACAGTAGAAAAATATTCTACCCTGGAAATGGAGGCAAAAGGTTCCTCTGAAACATTGGTATCTACAAAACATAGCATCACATCCCAGAAGACAGCAACCTTCAGTTGATTAAGTTTCATAACCAAGTTTTGGGGACAGAATTGAAGAAAAGGGAAAACAAGAAGATTAATGGGTATGGTTATATATGTAATTCTACTTACACACAAACAAAGCCTGCAATATTACTCTGAATGGCGTCGTCTTCTACTGAGGCAGCAACACTTACAGCTAATATATGGTGCAGCAGATCTGGTCCTAGAAATCAGTAAGAAATCTCACGTTAAAAGTCTCATCTTTACATTACAATATTTTATAGGCAATTTCTTTCATTTGAAGTCCCCCACAGATCCATGGTTACTTGTATATTTAAGAGCTAAGTTACTCAGAAGTACACAATAAAATGCAATATATCATGCATCAGGATCCCATTATAATGGACTGCCATGTTACTAACATGTTAATGCCATCTGTGTCTTCGGCCAAGAATGGAATGTTATATTTTAAAGATATTTACGCACACTCAAAAAAATTGTTATCAACTTTAATATTCACCTTCACCAATGACATCATATATTTACTGACTATTTATTGGATTTCATATTTTAAGTATTTAAGCCAAGTGATGATTCTTGTAACAGCTAGGTTCTAAAGGGTTCTGAAGATGGTGGATGACACACAGAATTAATGGGGTTTTGGACTTTTTCCATCGTCCAGAATTTTAGGTAACAGAGGATGTTTCGGAAACTGGATCCGTTTCAGTCTTCAGGTGAGAAAAGCATTCCGGACGATGGAAAAAGTCCAAAACCCCAGTTATGCTTGTATTGTCATATTTCCAAAACAAACTAAATATCAAAATATGTAAAATTAATATTTCTGCAAATATTCATGGTCACCATGTTTCTTCTGTTTTAATCAAATTTCCCTCAACAAAAGCTACACTACAGCACTGATTATAAGAATCCTGATTATCTGAACTGCCAATTAACTGAATGGCCACAACCAAAAAATGTGTCTGCTAAACAAACATCACTGTTGGACTTTTTCAAATGCAAGTGTTTGAAAATGTTAATTTATAATTACATTTATTCATTTTCCATGTTTCAACTG